GGTACTCCAACCACTAAACTACTTGAATTTTTTGATAGTAACTTACAAATAAATTATATTTATATACAAATATATATATATATATATATATATATATACCGTGTAAATATATAAATATATAAATACAAATATATTCATATATTTTGATATATTTATATAATTATATATTTATATGTTGGATGTGAGGGCACGCTCGAAGGTGAAAGTGTGTGTCGAGTGGATTTTCAAAATTTGATGTCAAATTTGTGAGCGGGTCACTTTATATGGGTTTGTAATTTAATGACAGAATATAATATTTATAATTTATTTATATAATGATATAAAATAAATTTGGGAAACGCATCATTCGCTCAAACGAAAAATACTAATTTTCGCTCAAGCAAGGCTTGAGCGAGTGAATTTCCGTGATTTTTAACGTATTTTCACTCAAGCGAGAGTCAATCTCACTTTCACCCTCGAACGCGCCTCACATCCAACATATAAATATATAACTATATAAATATATATATATATATATATATATATATATATATATATATCAAAATATATAATATATTTGTATTTATATATTCTATATTTATATATTTACATGGATATATATTTATTTGTATATAAATATAATTTATTTGTAAATTATTATAAAAAAATTATTTTGAGTATCAATTTTCAACTCTAAAATACTGAATTTGAATCTTGTTAGTGACAATTCTCTAACTTAAGTGAATTTTTGACTAAAAAAAATAAAAACATTTTCCAAAAAATATATATAAATAAATATATATTTACACGGATATATATTTATTTGTATATAAATATAATTTATTTGTAAATTATTATCGGAAAATTACAGTAGTTTAGTGGTTGGAGTATTGACTTTCAACTCTAAAATACTCGGGTTTAATCCTGTCAATGACAATTCTTTAACTTAAAAGAAATTTTGGGTGAAAACACATTCAATGTGGATTGTTTACCAAAGTGACGTTGAAAACATATTTTATAGTAGTGGTGGTATTCCAAGTGTGACCCTAGCCCATTTTTCAAGATCAGGAGAGGTTCAAAACCATTTTTCTATATATACTTTGTTTATTAAATTGGGATTGTGCTTTCCCTTGTGTAATTTTAAAAAGGAAATTTGACCATGATAAATTTTACCTTAGTTTAGTTGTATCTGAACATCTGGGCCTTTGTTCGAGCGTTCCACATTCTCTCCACCCAAGTTGGTGTCATGCTGACGTCTAGTAATTTTTATTTTTTTTTACTTTTTTTAGTGTAAGTCTTCGAAGAGAACATCCTAGGTTTCTATTCGTGGGGTGCATGGCCAAGCTTTATTGAACATGTTTCTAGTCCTCGTATAAGCATTTTGAAGGATGCTTCATAGAAGTTTGAGCCCTTAAGTCTAACTCATCTCTAGTAGAAGGATTCCCTTTTTATCGAATGACAAACCCATTCCAAACCGCCAAACAATTAGAAGAGTTGAAGCAAAATGAAGTCGAGCATGACAACATGTTTGAGCAACTGAATACCGTCTTTGATACCTCTACTCTCCTTAAATTAGAATTTCAAGTAATAGACCTTAGCGTGCATATAGGTATCCTCAACTTCCCACTTGTCTTTTGATACTTCTTGTGGAGATCGTCTTATTTTCCTTTGGCTTGTGCAGGGAACAAATGGCGTTATCGAAAAAAGAGATGAGTCGATGTTGACGTGAAGTTATGGCTCTTGAACAACAACCTTCGAAAATGATAACTGTCGGAGAGTCCATTCCAGTACGAGTAAAAAATATAGGTTCTTCAAGATGTACATCGTCGGATTTGTCAAGGACATGGAGCATATTGATGTTCTGTTTCCCAGAGCCAACCTATCCGTTATGGGCCCATTTAAGAGTGTGGTAGATGGAAAATTTGTGGATGAGGAAGAGTAAGTGTGTGTAGTAATAAAATCAATCGATGTGTTTGATTGTATGCTTTAATGCATTAACTTTGTTTTATCGTCTGTTTATTGATATTTAAGCTTGATTGTACGATAAGCTTAATTACTTCGTGCTTAAGCACTTTGTTTGATTTCGTTTGGCTTATTATGTAATGTATACCGACCTTATGTATAACATCGCGTGTAGAGTCATAGAATTTTCCAACCTTTTTTCAGGCATCGCTTGTGGAGTAGCCCGACCTCTGTTTGGGCTGTCGTTGTTAAATTACACAACCTTTGTTTGGTCGTTGTGTAGAATATTTTGATATCTTTTGGGTCATGTTGTAGAGTATACCGACCTTTTTTGGGTCGTTGTAGAAAATTCTATCACTATTAGGTCATCGTTGTACAATATCCAACCTTTTTTGGGTCATTGTTATAGAATATATGATCTCTATTAGGTTGTCATTGTAGAATATCCAACCGCAATTGATTTATCATTGTAAAATATTCGACCTCTATTGGGTTGTTGTTATAGAGTAGTCCAAGGGTTTGCAAAATTATTATTTTATTCGGCTTCCTTGGAAGAAAAACCTTGAGGGGAAAGGGAAAACCTCCAAGCAAATTAATACACATGTTTATTCTTGGAAAACAAAATGAAAATGTTAGCTGTAGTAAAATCGCAAGCTTGTTGCGTTCCATGTTCTAGGAATTTGTCCGCCACTTAGTGTTTTGAGTTTGTAGGCTCTATATATTCTTGACGACCTCTACTATCTGGTAAGGGCTAACCCATTAAGCAGAGAGTTAATTGTGAATTTGGTTTGGTCGGCCTGACGTAAGACTATATTCTATATTCTGAATGGGGCAGACTCTTTTAGAGTATACTAGCGTCGCACGATGCTTTGCAGCCTCCACTCGGATGTGAGCTTGCTCACGCGTTTCTTCAATACAATTAAGGTCTACTCTAGCCACTTGTGTTGCGCTATCCTCTGAGAAACCGATCACTCGTTCTATGGGTTCCACCATTTCGATGGAGAGCATTGTGTTCATGCTATAAACTAGATTAAATGGTCTCTTTGGTTGTTAATTGGGTTGTGGTGTGATACGACCATAACACGTGGGGTAACCCTGTCACCCACAATGTTTTTCTCTCCCCTAATCTTCGTTTTAAGCCCCTTAAGATTACCTTATTAGCAGTCTCGGCCTATTCATTCGTTTGTGGGTGTTCGATAGATGCGAAGGTGTGGCGTATGTGGAATTGCTCACATAAGTGGCTAATGCAGCGGCTGCCGAATTGTGTCATTGTTCGTGATAATAGTATTGGGTACTTTGTATCAGTACATGATTGCTTTCCAAATAAAGTTCCGTACCCTCTCGGCTGAGATTGCTGCTACTGGCTCGGCTTCAATCCATTTGGTGAAGTAATTTATCACTACCACCAAGAGCTTGGCCTGTTGAGCAGATATTGGGAAAGGGCCAAGTATGTCCAAACCCTATTTATTGAATAGCCACGGGGATACTATGGTATGTAATGGTTTGGGAGGTGTTGTGGGGTCTCATGTAGTTGGCATTGATGACACTTTCTTGCATATTTCACCTACTTGTGCCGAAGAGTCGGCCAATAATACCCTACTCACAAAACCTTTGTTGCAAGAGTTTGTCCCCTGATGTGACTTCCACATTTTCTCTCGTGTAGCTTGACCACAACTTGTGAAGCCTGATCTTTCGACAAACAGCAGAGTAAGGGGGTTGAGAATCCTCAACAAAACAATTTGTCACCAATTATCACAAATCTGGTCACCCTTTTTCGAAAAAGATCCATCTCGTCCTTAGTGTCGGGCTTGGTTCCTTGGGTAAAATAGGTTGTGTATGGTTGCATCTATGATCATTAAGTCTCTGAACACATTACCTGAACCGACTTCACAGTTAAATTGGGCAACATCAGTGTCTCCTATATGATCGACCTATGGTTTCCAGATCGTTTAGTGTTTGCCAATTTGGAGAGTATATCCCCTCGCAATTTTGCTCTCGAGGGATGTGGATGAGCTTAAAAGTGTCAAAGCTCGGTATTAATGCCTTTACCTGATACAAATATTGGGCTAAGCATGGATCACAAGCTTGGTAACCTCCCATGACCTGACCGGTAAGAAGTTGGGAATCACTTTTTGCCAACTAGTGGTTCACACGATATGTCATGTTCAGACAACTCTACCGTCCACTTGACTATTTGACCAGCCAAGTCAAGTTTTCATAGCACATGTTTTATCGGTAGGTCGATCTTTATCACGATTAGGAAACTTTGGAAATAATGTTGTAACCTCCAAGCAATTACTATGATTGCAAGTACTGCTCACTCTAGTTTGTGGTATATGCTCTTCGCTGCTTGTGGAACCCGACTGACAAAATAAACTGGCCACATTACTCCATCAATCTCTTGAGTGAGGATCGAATTTACAGGTCGATGGTTGTGATACATAATAGCAATATGTGGCCCGATTCTAACTTTGAGAGGATAGAAGGATGAGACAAGAACTCTTTTAAGGTTGTGAACGTCTAGTCACATTTGTCTGTCTACGGAAATTGCTTATTTTTCCGTAGATACTAAAAATTTGGAAAGCCCTTATCTCCTCGTACCATGGACATCATCTTTTGCATCGTCAGACCCATCGCCTTTCTCCACCAGTTGAAAGTTTGTGTATGCTTCTAGTAATGAAAAAATAGATTTTATCTTTTGCTCACATAGCGCTAAATATTGCTACTCAAAAGTTCCCCTCCCCTGTATTTTTTCCTTGATTGTTCTTTCTCCCTTAAACCTAATATCTCCTTGTATGCATTGTTAATATTAGGTTAGGGTTTTCACTCACATCCATATTCAGTCATTGTTTCTTGCGCAGATTTCTAGGTTAGAAATAATATTTTAAAATAAATATTTGCTATATCTTCGCAACTGAGTTTCTCGTCGCATATCCGACTAATAAGATCGGTTAAGGCTAGTTACTTCAAGCCTACAAGTAGCACAGGACATGTGATAATTCTTCCACCCACAAACCTTCAGCTACCACAAGACGGCATTGGCTGCTTGTGCTTCATCGATGGTTCGAAAATGTTTGACCCAGGTGAATACTTGCTTGTTGGATGTTAAAGATGTTACAATGGTTTTGCGCTTGACTACAGGTAAACTTCTTCACCATGAAGAATGTTTGTCACTTGAGTCGATGCATCCATTTGGAGAATCCTGATTTCATGATTATTACAAGGATAAAGAACCGACAGTCATCTCAGCCTGTACTAGTTTGAATCAAATAAGCTTTTGCTTAAACACTTCAATTTGAAATATAAAGTTTTGAACAAGCAGAATACTCAATTTAAAAGCTCGATAATCTTTCTGTACTTAAAAGTGTTTATTTTTCAAATTAATTCTTAAATAAAATATATTTAAAAGTAAATTTCATCTTTTACGTACTTACCAATTATGACATACTAACATAAATTTTAAAAGAATAAAATGCCATTATATTGCTTAATATTATGACTCACTAGCCAAAAGATGGAAGCAAACAACAACCAAACTATAGCCACCAAATTTCAGAATCTGAGCAAGCACCAAGTTTAATGCGTCTCGTCAGAACCCCAACAATTTGGCTAAATTTTTTGTAGTGTTGGACGTACGATTGTGGCAGAAATGAATCACTATTTTCAGAGATGAAATATTAGGACGTGTTCCTTTTATTTCAACACGTAACACGGTCCCATCACTTTGACTCAAAGCAACCCACTTTTCTTAATATTAATCTTCACCAAACACTATGCCACATGCTACCATTTGCGTGCATGATGGGTTCGACCATTCGGGTCCCTCATTTAATGTTCAATTTATTCCAAATTTTTATCTGTTTGACATAATTTAACTTAATGGTCAACATCATTTAAGTTTAACCCGTTGAACCACCATGTTAGAGGATAATAATGTAGTGGAATTTGAATAGTAGTTCAACATTTGTAAATTGTTACGTTTGTTGGCTAACGAAATTGTTACTTGACACTACACAAACGATGAGATTCTATTCTCTAGATCTCGTTGAATACATATGAATTTAATAATAAAATATAAACTAATATATTTAGTTATATAATTACAAATAGAAAATATAACGTTAACATTAAACATATATATTTTATTAGCTAAATATTATCACTCTATTTTTACCTCACGTTCTCACACTTCTCTTTTGGGGTTTGCCAAATTGTTACAAATAGTAACCTAATATAATAATTCATTTACACTCTAATTGTCCTTTGTAAGGTTACTTCTTTTGTTGTCTTCTTATTATTAAAATATTATAAAAAATAATTATTAAAATAATAAACATAATTATTTTAAGAAATAGTTATTAATTATTGAAATAAAATTAAATAATTAATTATTTATTATTATAAAAAAATTAGATAAGATAATATTTCTTATTTCTTTAGGAGATAATTTTTTCAAAAAAAACTTAGTAATTTTTTTTTCATTAAATAAAAATTTAATTTAATTTATGGGTAAGGGGTTAAGAAGAGAGGAAAAATGAAAGAAAAAAAAGAGAGAAAAGAAAGGAAAAGAGACAAAAGAGAAAGAGAAAGATAAGGAATAAAAAAAGACATGGAAAAAGAAAAAAGAAAAAAAAAAAATATATATATATATATATATATATATATATATATATATATATATATATATATATATATAAAGTAAGCTTTATTAGTATTATATATAAATAAAATAAAAAAATAAAATATTTATTATTATATTTATCTATTTTTAATTATGATTATTGAATAAAGTGTCTTTAATTTTTTTTATTTTTTATATTTAATTATTATTCTCTTTTATATTTATATTTATTTTTAGTTACACATTGATTATTTGTTATTTATTTATATTATTTAATTATTTTTTAAATAATAATATTTATTTAGAAAAGATTGATGGCATTCTACATTAAACAAGTAAATATCACTAATTTTAGATTTATTAAATAGTTATTATAAAAATTAATTTAAATCTTTATAATATAAAATAAAATAAAATATATTGATAAAATTAAGAAATTGATTTTATATATCGTGATATTTATTATTTTATATGATAATTGATTTTCACTTTTGATACCTATTATAACTAAAAATATCAAAATATTTGATAAAAGATAAATATAATTAAAAAATTAATTATTTAAAAAAATGTTTATCAAATTTAATAATTATTTCTTATATAAAAATAATATAAACATGTAAAATTCATATATTTATATATAAATATATAAATATTTATCTCATACTTTATTTTTTATTAAGATTTAATAAAATATAATAATATCTAAAAATATGTTAAAATCACGTTACAATACATGTATTATAATTATGATATATTTACTCTATATAGATAAAAGAAGATAAAAAAACGTAATAAAAAAAAGTAATAAATATTTATTTGAAAATAGTTAAAACTTATATTTTTATAATAAGAGGCAATATATATATATATATATATATATATATATATATATATATATATATAATCTTTTATCTAAAGGTGTAAAATTAATACAATAATATTAATTTAACTACGATTTATTAATATTTTAAATCTTAAGTTTTACCTAAAAAGTTAAAGAAATATAATTAAATTGTAATTTTTTATATATAATTAAATTTAAACTAATTATTTAAAAAGACATTAAATGTTAATATGTTGAATAATAATAATAATAATAATAATAATAATAATAATAATAATAATAATAATAATAATAATATTACTTGCCATTAGTCTCTAAATTAACAATGCTTAACCTATTCCTTTTCTCATCTTTCTAACATCCATAATTACTTCTACTACATCATGAAAAAATTATCTAGTGTCAAAATTATATTTTTCCTTCCAACAATAATCATGTTAGTTAAACTTTCTTATTAAGTAATCAAATCTAATTGTAAAGGGATAAATTCATTCTTATTTATAAAACTATTATCCATTCTAATTACCTTAATTCAAACTGAAAATTAATTTTGTATGTGTTGTATAAAGCAAATTACGAAAGATATATTTTCTAAAATTAGAGAAAAATTGTAACTAAATTCCTAAAAGAGAAAAGCAATATTTTTTTTCGCATGAAAAATCCTAAAGAAATCAGGAAAATAGTAACCTAATATCCAAAACAAAGGTAAACGAAAAAAAAAAATCTAAACTTATAAATCATGATTGAAAAAAAATAGCGAAAAGATACTCTAATCTCTAAAAGACAAAGAAATCCTGAAAAATAGTCAAAACTTTTAGATAAAAAGCTTGTTTAGGTAAACATTGAAAAATATATTTGGACGAAAACTTGATATGAAACAAAAGAGAAGAAAAACATCAGTGTGTGGGGAGAAAAGATGTCGTTTTTGTAGTTTATAGATTACAATCTCTATAATTTTCTTGACCTAATTTTTTTTTTTGTTTGTAACAACTATTGAAATATATTGACGTATATCCCACAAATTGTATTCTCTCGTGAAGGATATTGTATGGAAATATTTGTTACAAATAGTGAATGTAAAGATACAAAACCACTTCGGATATAGTTAAAAAAGAGATTTTCGAAAATTATAAAACTAATTAATTTGTCATTTTTTAAATTGATAGTGTTTCCTACTTGTTTGTTGTCTAATAAATTTTATATTTTCAGTTTATAATTATTTTTTGAATATACAAGCAATAACTTCATAAGTTAATTTGATTTTCATCAATTAATTTCAAATAATACAGAGATTTTTTTGATTAATTTTGTTTTTTAGTTTTTAGAAACAGTTTTAATAAACAATTTAAAAAAAAACTACCAAGTGATGCATGCATTTGCATCCAATAGAACTCAAATCACACTCCAATATTTTACTCCAAATTTCACTTCATGAATTTGGTAAACTGAAAATAGAAAACTTTAGAAGATGACCAACTCTTACACCAGACACAGTACCTTCACCAACCCCACACCAACTTTAATACCCATCGCCCTGTGGAAATTTCAACCACATCCGTGGGACCCGGCACTCATCATCACCAACCACACCCCACTGTTTCTCAATTGTGATTTAAACAACTAACGAAATAATATATTATAGTTCAAGAATTATTTAACTCTATTAAGAAAAAGTTCATCATTCAAGATGTGGTTAACTCTTCAGCCGAAAATTGTGGCGTAAACAATATTATTAATGATAATATTGTTTTCAGTACAATAAAAAAATGTCACCTGTCTTCGTACAATGATTTTTTATAAGATTCATGTGGGATGCTAGATTTGCAATCAATTATACCAAGACAAACACAGAACATGAATTTGCCATTACTCTCAATGTGGCTACACCACACACATTGATAAAAAGTTCTGAATTTCCTAATTCATACAACAAGTATTGTGGGAATATAAACATGCAAGAAGAAAGGAGAGTGGCGATTAATGATACGATTTAAAAATTAAGATTTTGTTTCTAAAATATCATGACATGCACATGGCATAATAATGTAAAAACAGTATATAAAAATATGTTATTCCATAAGTCAATGTGTATTAACTTGAAATGACTCCAATGAGTTGACGCGTCAAACTGTTCAAACTGAAAATAACTCATTTTATTTAAGTTTTTTTTTAAATATAAATCATTTTGTTTATGAGTGGTATATGGATCAGTTCATCCCACCTTTAGGCACACTATAAATAAACTTTTGCTCATTCTACCGGAAAGTAGATAAGAAATTAATTTATTTTAAAAAAATATTTTTTATATATTTATATATGCTTTGAACCGAAAAATTAGAAATACTAGCTTATCCCATCAATATGATGTTGAAGGTATACTCAACTTAAACCTATTTTGGCGTCTATTTTTATTTATTCTATTTATAATTATTAAATTCAGATTCTATTTATGTCTATTAAATTCAGCTCGCGGGATGAAACCTATTTTCTAAATCCTATATCACGTATTATGAAAGCAAAATAAGTTTGATTGAAAAATAATCCAACAATATTGTGGATATTGTGCAGGAAAGTTTTTGTAGAAAGAAAATGAATATGGCATAATAAAGTAAAAACATACTCCTGATGAAACTACAATTCAGTGGCCAAATAGTGAACCCCGCAAGCAAAGGATCATTATGTTCATTTAAAATGTCATAATTCATAAAAAATGATGTCATAACCTATTCTTCATAATTGGGAAAATTCTCTACCAACAAATTAAACAAGACCGACCATAGTGGTCATCATGATTCATGAAGTGGAACCTCCTCATTGTATTGCAAAAATCTCACCTACCCCGGACCGGACGCCAAATGGTTCAACCAAACACCTTACTCTTTTCCATTCACCGACCCGGTTCGAACCGGCCTTTTTCTTCATTATATTAACCATCCTTCGGCACCCACACCTCGTCAAGTTCCTATTAACCCATCAACCATCCGAAAGGAGAAAGAAAAGGCACCAAAAATTATACCAATGGCAAACAACGGTGAAAAAAACCAAACTGAAGCTGGAAGGCACCAAGAGGTTGGTCACAAGAGCCTTCTCCAGAGTGATGCTCTTTACCAGGTACACCCAACTGCATTCATCTGGTTATTTATTTATTCTTATTTTGCCCCCAATAGTTTGTAGCATGTCAAATTTGGGGTCTTTGCTAAATGATTATTTGGTTATGCTGTGTCCAGTATATTCTGGAGACCAGTGTCTACCCAAGAGAACCTGAACCCATGAAAGAATTGAGAGAGTTGACTGCTAAGCACCCATGGTATGTATGATTCATTTGCTCAATTGACACCTAATGCTTGGTTTCTCTGCTCATGGCTGATTTGTTGAAAACAACAACAGGAACATCATGACTACCTCTGCAGACGAAGGACAATTCTTGAACATGCTTCTTAAGCTTATCAATGCCAAGAATACCATGGAGATTGGTGTCTACACTGGGTATTCACTGCTTGCCACCGCCCTCGCTCTTCCTGAAGATGGAAAGGTATAAAATCCAGGGTATTTATTCATCACGTCAAATTTTGGGAAAGAGTATCTATAGACAGTACAAGTTACATAATTGCTATTGTTAAACTTGGTTATTATTAGTCTTGTACATGAAAAAAATTGTTTATCTTTTTGCCAAGGTTCAAACTTCAATCTAAATCCCACACTTATTCATCAAGTCGGTCCATTTTCTGCATATGATATGTTAAGGAAAAAATGTCTAAAGCCCTTGCTTGTACTTGGTGTAGATCTTGGCCATGGATATTAACAGGGAGAATTACGAGCTGGGTTTGCCTGTCATTAAAAAAGCTGGTGTTGACCACAAAATTGAATTCAGAGAAGGTCCTGCTCTTCCGGTTCTCGATGAAATGGTTAAAGATGTAAGCTTTTCAATCTCAGTTTCCCTGTCCCAATTGCAAGATGAAGAAGAAACATGGGTAAGAGGAGTGAAAAGAGGGTAATTGAATAGTTATTGTGTGTGGTGAAATGCAGGAGAAGAACCATGGGAGCTATGATTTCATCTTTGTGGATGCGGACAAGGACAACTACCTCAATTATCACAAGAGGTTGATTGAGCTTGTCAAAGTTGGAGGCTTGATCGGGTACGACAACACCCTATGGAACGGTTCTGTGGTGGCACCCCCTGATGCTCCTCTCAGGAAGTATGTTAGGTACTACAGAGACTTCGTGTTGGAGCTCAACAAGGCCTTGGCTGTGGACCCCAGAATCGAAATCTGCATGCTTCCGGTTGGTGATGGAATCACTCTCTGCCGTCGGATCAAGTGATTGCGTTGTGTTGTTGCTTTGCTTCTTCTTCACAACATGTGATGATGATTTGTTTGGCCACCATTGAGTTGCAGCTAATGGATTTAAAAGCACTCTATACTTTTCTTTTACTTTTCTGCAAAATATCTGTCTGTTTTTTCCTCTATTTTTCATATGCAACTGCCAAGTGACCTTTCTCTTATTTGATGTATCTCTGCCAATTATTAGTAAAGGATACATGTGTTGAGGAGAGGGTGGATCAAGAATTTCTGTTTCAAATAATAAATTGTCAAGAGATTCATGTTCTCTCATTTTGGAATTCATTAATATGAAGACAAGTATTCTGTATTTTTTAATCATATATTGTAAACAAATAAACATTAGTTACTTATATAAATCATAAAAAGATATCATACATAGTTAATTCAATGTTTGCCTCTTGAAAATATTAATGATTTTATGAAGCAGTTTGTTCAATGATGACCTGTATGGTTATTTTGGTGGAGATAGATCACCAAACTAAATAAATCTGAAATGGGATTTTGGAGGAATGAAAAGTCTTGTGAAATTAGTTCAACCAACTCAGATCGTTTTCATGAAGAGATTTAGAAATGGAGTTGTTGATGTATTAGCAAATGTAGCTTTTGTGATGCAAGAAAAATATTAGAAGTAGAGCCTCTGGACAAAAATTTCCCAATATTATTGATTAAAATTGTCCAGTATCCACAGTAGAAAAGAAAAAGAAAGAAACTAGAATTGCATGGATATGACTGTTTAATTTTTTCATAATTGATCAATTGACACATCGTGAATATGCAAAAGAAAAATGCTTTAATGTTAGAAAAGTTTCCCAGAATATTCATCTGTGTTCTCCTTTTCATTTAGCGTTCGATATCTTTCCTACTTCGTACCAAACATATTCATGAAGTCTGCCAAATTCCACCAACTGCACGGATATTTTACTATCACAACCAGAAAGATAAAGTAGATATGATATTTGTCGGATTTGATTATTAAATATGAGAAAAATATATTTTAAAATTTAAAATATTTAAAAAATGAAACTTTTATCTATATACCAATTATTGTAAATATTTTTTAGATATTTTTATATTTTGTAATGAAAATGAATAACATGATTTATTAGGAGATCATTAAGAGTAGATCTTATTTGGTCTTAGTATGTCATGTAATATTAGTATGTCTTAGTATATATAAAAGTTGATCGATAAAATAAAAGAATATTTAAAATAATAATGTTTTTATGATAATTATTATTTTAATTATCATAAAAATATATCACTTTTATATCTAGTACCTTATTTATTATACTTCTATTATAAATAATTTATGATATTTCTATTATAATTAAGATAGTAATCCACTTGTGTGTGAGTTAGTTAAGTTAGCAATATGATAAAAAGTGAACAAATGAACATTAATTTTTCATTAAAAAAATCTATTATTTACAAAATATTAACTACGAATAAAAATCGGTAGGTAAAAAATACATTACACATAGATATTACTTACGATAATATATAAATATATTTCTATTTATATATTTTATATTTATATATATATATATATATATATATATATAATTATACAGATAAATATAAATATAATTTATTTATAAGTTATTATTAGAATATTCTAATAATAATTTAGTGATTGAAACATCATCTTCTACTTATAAAATATTAACTATGAGTTTGATTCCTATCAATATTATTTATCAATGATAATTCAAATAAAATAATAAATAAAAATATTTTGTTCGAGTGTATCTATCCACGGATTTCCTATAGAAATATTTGACCTGTATGTTTTTTATTTTAAGTATTTTATCATTTTTCACTTTTTTTTTTAATGATGATTAGATTATTAACCGATATGAATTTTCTAGTTTAGATTTGACATAAAAAATCAAGATTTTCTTTACCCATATCGATTATAGAACAGATACAAAAAATCTGGGTAGAATCCACATTAAAAATATCACGTGTAAAAGTCTATGGATCACAAAATTGCATTTTTTTTAGAACAAACTCAAATAAAATACACTTTGATATATCAATATTTGTAATTAAAAATATTAACATTATTTATACAAATGTTATAAAAACAAAATGACCATTTTTTTTATAAAGATAGTATATTAATATATCACTAATTAAATTGAAAATCTAACATAAACTAATATAATATGTGATATTATATTATGTGAGATGGAATATAAATATTTTTTAATAAAAGTGGATATGCAAAAGTATCATTGTGAAAAATTAAATATTTTTAACAAAGTTGACTGGCTAATTACTTGTCATTTGTAATATATAAAATATTATAATAAAATTTAAATATAAAAATGATCATAGGATTAAGATAAGCCTCGTGATAAAATTAATTAAATTAGAAAATTTGGTTTATATTTAAAAAAAACTTACTAAATAAAAATAAGAATATCTTTTACTAAACTAAGTTATGTTTATGTTCAAGATTGTATATATATTTTTTTTAAATGTGACAACACTTAAAAGGTAATGGACAAACTAGTTTTTTCTTCAATACACTTAGCTTTCCAAGGCTAAAATTAGAATCCTCAAAAGCCACAATGACTAAGTGGGTCACATTTCAACTAAATATTACTTTAGCAAAAACATTTTGCATGTTTCTCATCAATCACCACAACAAATTTTTTAAAATTAAAGCATTTGAAATACATGTATGTAGAACCTAAGTAATTTTGAAGTATTTAGCAATGCAAAACTCGTTAGTATAACTCTTGAAATGCTTCCTAAAATTGAAACTTCAGATTTAATCAAAGAAATTACTTGTCCAATAGACATAATATGTTGATAAAATCTATTGACATTTTTCACATACTTAAGAAACCAAAAAACATATATAGTGATTGAAAGAACGACATTTGTGTGTTGAAAATATTTTTATATCAATTTCATTTTAAAATTATAGCCTTTACTAAATTAGTTCATTGAAGATCAAAATAGTAGAAGTTTTAATGACTAAATAAAGTTATTACTTTTAGGATAATGATATATAAATAATCCATCATTCAAAAATATCCATTAAAGAATTACTTTTATTAATATAATAATAATAAAAAGTATCTATATTTTTATTTCTCTTTCCTTCGTACTGCAAAGTTGTTTATAAGATATTTGTGTGGGATGGGTTGTTAAAGAATATTTTTCTTAATTTTAAAATCAAAACTATCTTCAATATTTTTTACTAGAGAATGGAGCATATACCTAGAGGAAAAATAAAATAAAATTCTTACTTCAAAACAAGTGTTTTAGATTCTTAGAGACTTTACAAAAATTTTAGAATGTCATATATGCGTACAAATTTTGAGTAAGAGTACGAAGTCCCATTAAGACCACCATAGCTCTTATGAGCTTTATAACTTTTCAAAAAAGTTGTCTCTTTACAGAATACATCTTCTACTATATAAAACAATAATTTTCAAACAGAATCATCTTGACAAACACTTTGTGTTGTAAGAGATGTAACTCACCTTGTTGTATTTAAGGCAAAATAAAACTCCTATAGATTCTAGAATCACTTTAGCTTTGGTTGAAAATTTTCTTAAAATTAAAGCCCTTGAGAACAAGAAGAAGAAACTTTCAATTGAAAAATATCAAATGCTTTCCTGATATCAAAATTATCATCACGTTCTCACTTTTCTTTTTTTATTGAAGTATTGATGGTTTTTGCTGTAGCCAAACATTCTTGCACTTTGATTAGCTGTTATTTAAGTGAAAAACTTTACTCTAACCTGACTAAAGTTTCTTGTTATTAGTAAGTTATTTTTTTAAATCAGAATTTCAAGACTCCGAATTTTGTTAATTATACTATAAACAAATCATTAGATCGATCATACAATAAAGTAATTTATTTGAAAACTGTAGTTTCAAAAATATAATAAATAATACTTTACCTTTAAATAAAGTTGAATTTTTGTTTAATCAACTTAATCTAATCCACTTACTGATGATAAATTAAAAATATTTTAACATAATTTGATTTATAAGTTAAGTTAATTGATGCATTAAATTTCAAAAAATAAAAATTATAAAAAATTAATAATATATTTTATTAATATATATATATATATATATATATATTAATATCAATATATTCAAATAATCAATCAATATTAAAATATTTAGATATCTAATCAATATTATATATTTGGATTAAATATGTTTTTATAGCTGTAATTTTAGTTATATTTGATTTTGATCTTTATATTTAACAAATAATTAATTATTTTATTATTTATGAAAATATGTAATTTTTTTATATTTAAATTTAATATTTAGTGATATTTTTATCTTTATCAAATATGATTTTAATTTTTTATATTTAAATTTAATATTTAATAATATTTTTAATTATTATAAAGTTGATTAAAAAAATTGTATGATTTTTAATTTTTAGAGTTAATTAATAATATTTTAAATATAAAAACTAAAATCATGTTAAAAAAATATAAATAAAAACATATTTAAGCCTTTATGTTTTCATAGGTTATAGTTTTTTTCTTTTAATATTAAAACTGGTCAATTAGCTTATAACTGAGTTTTGCAATTAACAATTTTTGTACTTATTAATTTAATTGATAATTTTTTTAAATTAATTTTTAATTTTTTAGTTTTTAAAAATAAAAAAAAACTAATACAATATGTTTTTTATTATAATTGTTTTCACAAACAAGTATTAACATTTTATTCAATAATTATATTAAATTATCCATTATTATTATTATTATTATTATTACTACTACTATTATTAAAAAAATATTAAAATTATTTTTCTAATTTTTATAAAAAAAATTATAGTCATTTGTTTAAAATAAATTTTAAAAATAGAGTTATCAATTTTTTTTTCATTTTTAAAAATAAATTTTCAAAATTGATTTTTAAAAACTAAAAAACAAAAGTAAATAAAAAATGCTCATATCATTTGCATTACGGATTACTGTTGGAAAAACTAGAATGAATAAACACATTCAAGAAGGGGTGAATTGGATTGGTAAAAGCTTTTTGAAATTTTATTCAATTAATTGAATCTTTTTCAAACAATCAAATTGAAAAAAAAAAATTGGAATGGGTTGAGATTTCAATAATAACAATAATAACAAGATAGAGGAGAAAGAAGTAATAACACAATGATTTTATGATTTCACATAATCTATGTCTAGTTGTCCAATCAACTTTAACTTGAATTTTCACTATAATTTTCTTAATATTCAGAGTACAAAATAAACTATTGATCTTAATACACAAATACATTAACAAGATCTAACAAGAACCACACGACTTGAAAATGTTATCCTACCAATTTTCAAGCAATCTCAATGTTCACCTCATAATCATCAACATATAATAAATATTACAAAACTACAAGATAAGAACAAAATCACCTAAACTTTGAATTGCACAATATAAAAAATTTTATACACAAAATGATTTATCCTTAAAAGCAATTTTTTCATAATGATTCACAGATTCATATGTTGCTTTGATCCCCACTAATACTTTCCTTTTTCAGTGCTTTGGTCATTTTTTTCATTTGTTCGGTAAGTTTTCTTGTTTTTAAAGAGATAACAACAGTTCAGCTTGATTCAGATAATTAATTACTAAAAAATCTAGATTTTTTATATATAATAACAGAAGATAAACATAACAATATAATCTATTAGATATCAACATAGTTGATTATTAACACGTGATGTTAAAGTAAGAAATATGATCAAATAATCCATTAAGTATGAATAAAATCGATTAATAACTCATAATTATAATTATTTTACTACTTAAGTTTTAACATAATATTTATCTTTTTACCTTTATAGTTTTGAAAATAAATTTAATAATTTGTGTTTAACATCATCTACACACAACTACCTATATATTTAAATATTATAAAAAATAATAATTTTTCAATCTTCATCAAATAATTAACAATTGCAATTCATTTTAACACCTCTAATTTACATTAACAATTAAATTAAAATGAACTTAAAAATAAGAATTACAATATTACGTTATACTACATATAAGCATTAATTACACAACGTGACCATCATGATAATGTAAGGGTATATTTTGTTTTAACTTTTAAGGTACCTAAATATTGCATTTGATATTTTCATACAATGTCTTTAATTTAATTTTGTTTTTTAGTTTTTAAAATCAATTTTAGAAATTATTTCATAACTCTATTTTTAAAATACTATTTTAAATGAAAAATAATAATATAGATGACTAAAAAAAATTCTAACAAAAGTTTAAAAATGATTTTCATTAAACTTTTTTAAAAAATAATGAATAAACAATTACTAATATCTCTAGTTTTAAAAACATAACTGATCTATAAGTTATATCGATTTAAATTAATTTTAGATTTGATTTGTAGAAAATCTTACTAATGAATATTATTTGATATTATTAAAATTTTAATTTGAGTTTGATAATATATTTTAAAATAAAATAATGTGTGCGTGCGTGTGTTGTTTTTCATTTTAATTTTTTGGATATTTAATTTTAGTATTATTTAATTATTATAATATTTTAATTAATTTTGATTCACATGTAGTTAAAATTATTATTAACTGATTCAATAACTTGTCTAATTTTAAAAATATATCTTAATATTAAGAGTTGAAAATATTGTTTGAAAGGGCTATTTGATATAGGTTTAGTGATGGGAGGGTTGTTAGAAACTTAGAATAATAACGCCTGACAAATTTAAGCCCAACATTTTAGGTATTGGGTTTTGTAATATTTTGGGCTGGCCCATATGTGTGATCACAGAAGGCCATTTTATTCGCTACAAAAACCCTGATACCATATCCTTATATAGTCTCCCTCTCGCCACCTTCTAACCCCATTTCACTCACTGCGCGAATTAGGGTTTTCGCGAGACTGAAACAATGACGCAGGGGCAAGAGCTGGAACAGGTGCAATGCTTCGGTCGCAAGAAGACCGCCGTGGCTGTAACCTACTGTAAGCGCGGGCGCGGCCTCATCAAGATCAACGGCTGCCCCATCGAGCTCGTCGAACCCGAAATCCTCCGGTTCAAGGCCTTCGAGCCGATCCTCCTCCTCGGGAAAAGCCGGTTCGCAGGCGTGGACATGAGAATCCGCGTCAAGGGCGGTGGCCACACCTCCCAGATATACGCCATTCGCCAGAGCATAGCCAAGGCCCTCGTCGCTTTCTACCAGAAATATGTCGACGAACAGAGCAAGAAGGAAATCAAGGATATCCTCGTACGCTATGATCGCACGTTGCTTGTCGCGGATCCCAGGCGCTGCGAGCCTAAGAAGTTTGGTGGTCGCGGTGCGCGCGCCAGATTCCAGAAGTCTTACCGTTGAGAGAGGAGAGAAACAGAAGGAAGGTGTTTTCGTGTTTTGTTTCGGTTCATGTTTTATGCTGTGGAAAACAACTTTTGTTTGTGATTTTGTTAGTTCTATTTTCTTAATTGTTGGATGATTTTGTTATTCTGATTCAACGTTTTGTTTAGGGACAAATTGAATTATGGAAATTAAGTTTAAAATTTTAGGTATTTTGCCTTTCCCTGCTGGAATTGAATTGTCTACCCATTGAATTGAATTAAAATTGAAAGCCCAACAAGTAAGCGTTATGCATTGTGGAATAGTTTGGTTCTCATAAAGGGATTGCATGCGTTCTGTATTATGAAACTTAGATGATGAGTGCCTAATCATGACTCAAATTAAGGTATAGGTTATGGGTCTGAGCTTATTTTTTATGAAATCATGCTAGTTGACTTAGATTACAAATTGCTGATTGGAATACCCATGTACTGATTTGCAAATCAAATACTATTTGAATTGGGATGCAAATCGCGAAGTGGAAATATATAGAATTGCAAATCTGTATATAGTATAAATCACTAGTAATGAAACTTAATATGTGTATACATAAAAAACATTTGCAGACAGAGATTCATGATCAATTATTAAGAGCATTTTATTTTTGTTTTATCTAAAATGTATATATATTTTTGTTTTCGGACTATTGATTGATAAAGTGAGTCCTGTATGAATAAAGGTCTAGTAGTTAAAACTAAACTGTCCAAACAACAATGTTAAGAACTACTATCCAAATACGGACATAATTTGTCTCGTATTCGATGTAAAGTAAATATAGTTTACATTTAGGACTGTAAACGTGTGAGTGGATAGAAAATGGAATCTTCATTGGATTGTCGCCTATAACAGATGTGAGTATTTTAATTACTTGAAATGTTATAGTTTGATAAGGAGGATTTATGTTATAGTTTGATGTTATTAATTTATTTATACTTAAACTTGTGAAATTAAGTTTGCTTTTAGAGAGTGAAAAAATGTTGTATATCTGAGGGGAGTGGACAGTTGTGACATGGTGATCCTTGGAGAAGCAGTAAGATACTGTTATGCACAGCGATATCGCAACGTTATTCCATGTGATTAACTATTGTGAGCGTAGGGCAACCCAATACTAATTTTTTTACGTTTGATTAGGAAAATTACCGCTTTAAACACAACCGTATAGTATGACATGATGATTCTTGAAATAAAAATTGTAGGATCTGCATTGTCAAACTTTTGCGATTTAATCGCAAGTAGTGATTCTTACGATTCCAGATTTTTTATTGATGTGATTCAGCATGTCATACAAGCACAAAAATCATTCATTCATTCATTCAAACTGTTCGTATCGATTTTATTGATTTATTTAATCTCAACCATTACATTAAGACATAAGATTAAGATATTTAATTACATGTCACTATTTTTAAAGGAGGGCTATCATATTACATAAGTTTTTTATACATATTTTTTATAAAAACAATTTTTTTAAAATAAAATAACTGAAATATAATATTTACTTTCTGGTAATTCAATGATCAGATTCACCACTTGAAATAGCATATGTTAATCTGTAGCAACACATTAATCAAATTTAGATTATTGCAAAATATTCTTAATATTCATATTTTAATAAATAAATAAAGTACTACAACTAAGGGTTTATTATCTAAAAAATGTCAGACTACCTTCCATATATCTTCAACATTTAACATAGGTAACTGAAATATTCATAATCACACTACCTTCCATAAATGAATATTTTTAACATAAGTAGATATCTTCAGCATAGTTATATAAACACTACCTTCCATAAGTGAATATCTCTAACATGTGGATATTTTCAACATATGTACATAAACACTACCTTTCATAAGTAAATATCTCCAACATAAGAATATCTCCAACATAAGTGATATCTCCCACATAGGTACATAATTGGAATACTACTTTTCTCTACGTGAGTCCAATATTAATTCATTAACATAGTATTTTCTCCTTGAAAACTACTGTGTTAACATTCCTAAATTCATCACAAATATAATATACATATAAAGGTATCACATAATATTTCTCACATTGTAACAGTATATTTTTCTTTACATATTATTGAATATAGTGAAACTAGGTATAGGGTTAATTTTTTTATGTCTAAAATACACTTAAAGTAATATATTTATAATTAAGAATCATATAAGTAAATATGGAAAATACATATATTGTAATTAATGATATCTAATATATCTAAAATATCTAAAACTCTCCCTTAAACTATCGCATATAAATTATATGTACCAAGTTTGTTATAAATATAATCAATTTTAGGTCCTGTAAAGACTTGATGAAAATATTTGCTAACTGTTCACTTGAGTTAATAAAATCGGTCTTAATGTCTCTATATACAATCTTTTATCAAATAAAATGATAGTCAACTTCAATGTACTTAGTCATTTCATGGAAGATAGGATTAGAGCTAATATGAAGAGAAGTTTGATTATCACATATAAGTGTCATTTGAGTAGGGATGACAATTAAACCTATATTCGTGGAGACCGACCCGTCCCCGCCCTGAGTTTGACGGGAAAAACCTGAGTTGACCGGGGGCAGGGGCAGGGACGAGGATGAGTAATGCAATTCCCACCCCGACTCCGTCCCCGCCCCGACTTTATATTTAAATTTAAATTTTAAAATATTAATATTTGAAAAGTATTTCCTTTTCTTTTTCTATTACATATAATATAATTTTTTTTTATATTTCACCAATTTTTTTCTTCTACCCACTTTTTAATTTTTTTTGTCTTTTTTAATCTTTTATATCAATTAATTTATTACATTATTCTTTCTCTTACCTTTCAATTTTTCACATTTCCTTAATCTCTCCCATCAATTTGTTTTTTTTTCAATCTTTTCAACTAATTTGATGAACACAAAGTTAATTCTTTTATTCTTTATCTTTTTCTAAATATTTTACATAAGTATTAGTAGTAACTAATATTATTTTATTTAAAATTTATATTTATTAGGTTTTATTATGTCATATTTTTTTATCTTATTATTCTTATTTATCATATATCAAATTTTATCTTAATAAAATAATTGTATTTTAAAGGATTAAAGGAATTGATAATTTAAACTTTTATTACTTCAACTGATTGAATAAGAATTAACTTATTAAATATTTTCTTATAAACTATATATTTCATATATTTAAATGACAACTTAAAAATGAATGAACTTATATATATATAATCAAATATTTGAATATAGTATTATAATAATAATGTTATAAATATTCAAATATTTGAATACAATGTTATAATAATAATGTTATAAATAAAAAATGATTAAATATTTCTTTTACATACATATTTTAATATAAATATAATAAATTAAAATGTATATTTGATTAATAATAATTATAAATTATAAAATTATAAATATTTATTTATATATCTATTTTTTATTATAAAATTAATTTATTATAAATATAATTATCTTCTTAAAAATAATATAGATTGGGGACGGGACGGGGCGGGGGTGGGGAATCCGAAATCCAGGCGGAGAAGGGGATGGTTAAAAAGTCGGGGCGGGGATCGGGAAGCAAAATCCGCCCCGCCCCGCCCGTTGCCATGCCTATTTGAGTGACATCTTGAAATTACAACTTTTTAAGTAATTATTTAAGTCAAACAAGTTCACAAGTGGTTGATGCCACAACTCTATCTTATGCTTCTGCACTAGATATTGCCACAATATTTTGTTCTCTTGCTCTTCCAAGAGATCATGTTACCTCCAATAGAAACACAGTATCTAGAAGTAGATATTCTATCAGAAGGAGATCCTGTTCAGTCAACATCTGAATAAAAACAACTTTAGTTTGATTATTGTGATATATAACAAACCTTTTCCAAGAGATCATTTAATGTACTTTAATATATAGATGATTGCATTTCAATGATCTGCACATGGAGAATTAAGAAATCGACTCACCACATTAATTGCAAAGGAAATGTCAGGACAAGTAATAGTAAGATAATTTAATTTTCCAACTAATTTTTTGTATTTCTCAGGATTTGAGAGAGGCTCCCCTTAATTAGGTAGAAGTTTGGTATTGGGATCCATGAGTGTGACAACACATTTTGAGTTCATCAGTCTAGTTTCTTCTAAAATATCCAAATGCATACTTTCTCTAAGATATAACAATACCATTATTGAATTATGCTACCTCAATTCCCAAGAAATATCTAAGTTTGCCAAGATCTTTGGTCTGAAAGTGGTGACACAAGTGTTGCTTCATCTGGGAGATGCCATGGTGATCACTCCTTGTAAAAACAATATCATCAACATATATTATTAAATAGATATACTCAACACTTGGATGACGGTAAAATATTGAATAATCTGCCTCACTGCGTGTCATACCAAATTGTTGAACAACACTGTTAAATTTTCCAAACCAGGCCCTAGGATATTATTTTAGACCATATAAAGATTTGTAAAGATGACATATCAATGCAAAAGACTCCCCTTGGGCAACGAAGCCATGATGTTGCTCCATATAAATTTTTTCTTGCATATCTTTATTAAGAAAAACATTTTTGACATTTAGTTGGTAAAAAGGTCATTGTTGAAGAGTAGTCATAGCTATGAATAAACAAACAGAAGTCATATTTGCCATTGTAAAAAAGGTGTCACCATTGTCTAAACAAAAATTTGTGTGTAACATTTGGTCACAAAACGAATTTTGAGACGGTCACGAAACATTTGGTCACCATTAAATGGCGCGTGGAGACTTTGATCATGGTGATCTCAATGGCACAGTGATCACCTAGTCGAGATGAGCATAACAATGTGGTCGCCGGTCTAAACTGTAACTCCGACGGTGGTGGCGACAAAAAAGAGAACCTAAGCTCTAAATGTCACATTGAATATAGTGAAAAACTAGGTATAAGGTTAATTTCCCTTGTGTCTAAAATACACATAAGATAATATATTTATAATTGAGAGTCATACAAGTATATTTGGAAAATAAATATATTGCGATTAATAATATCTAAAATATCTAACACATATACTAACACTTAACACATATTATTTCATATTAAATACATGTATTCTATTATCCTAAGCCATGTAGATATCATTTATCACATTTCAACAAAGAATAAATTTGTGGGATTTGACCGATGACTATTCTTTTGACCATAAGTTTTTTCTACAAATATCATTTTTGACTAATTCTTGTTTTATTGGATTTCTTATTTCTAGGACTTCGATTTTCATATATGAAACACTAAATTTGGAATTTTGAGCTATTTTTTATGATTTTTAGAAGTTTGGGCAGAAAAATTTTAAAAAATTTCACTTGAGCGAAAATACACTCAAGTATCACCTTCTTTTCTATAAAAAATTTCTCTTGAGCAAAAATTTTCTAGTTTAAGCAAGACTCACTTTTGATTGAGCAAAAATACACTGAGACAAATCTCTTCCACTAGGAGTTTTTCTCGCTTGAGCAAAAATGCACTTGAGAGGAACTATTTCCTTTTCTGAACATTTCGCTTGAGCAAAATATGTAGATAACAAATCTAGTTCAATTATAATTATCATATCCTAATAGTTTATAAACATCATTACTCTAACTTAACTCATTCAATCACAATTTAAGATACAATACAATAAATTAATTTTCTGCAAATCAAACAATGTGACCAAGTCACATCCACAGTTCAGATCTTCTGACCTAAAGTATTATGAAAATCAAAGAACAACTAACTTTCCTTACCTTCCAATTTCAGTGTCTTCAAACTTGAAAGCTCCAAATCTTTAATTTCTTAGGAACTCAAATCCTGCTCACAAAAAATCCCAATTAATAAATCGAACTTACTACAATGTTTCTAAACTAGTTAAAATTCATCTTTACCCCCCCAAGGTCACATACAAGACTCGAAGATCCACATGCATAACCCTAACCCCAAATTTGTAAAATACTCTAAAGTTGGAGGAAAAAAAACTTATTCTATTTAAAATTTTGATTGAATGAAAATATTCTTCTCATTGCTAGGAACACAATGATGTACTTAGATTTAGAACAAATAAGAATTTGATAAAAAAAAAAATAGAAAGAAATAAGAAGATTTAGAATTTAAAGAAAAAGTGATTTTTTAGAAATGAAGTTTGAAATGTAAGAATTTTTTATTTAAACCATTTTTCTCTCAAAGATAAAAATTTTAAACTTTATTCCATTTAATTACTATTTTCCTTTAAACAACTAATGTGTCCGTCTTTGTAATTTATGCATGTGAAATTAAACTTGTTTTTTAAAGTTATTAATTTTATTTAAACTTTTTTTTTAGACATTAGATTTGAGTTTGAGAGAAGGTAATTATATTTGTATTAATGATTTGTTTTTAAGATATTTTTATTAGAGTTTATATTTTAAAATAAAGTTGTAGGTCTTTTGTTTGGAATTTAATGTTTCAAGAAGTATCATTGCAAGTATATAAAAGACAGTGAGCACGCTAGATATAAAAGACAAAAAATAAAATAAAAATTGAATGCATTAGTAAGGGTTTTCAATGATCAACCCGAAGGCTTTAGCTGGAACAAGAACTAAAAACAAATTCGACAAATTATCGAAGATAAAATTATATTTAATCTTATTTTAAATATATACAGATAGAACATGAATTTAAGATTTTATGAATATATATAGCTTGTATAATAAGAACTTTTTATACTATTTTATCCAAAATAATTATTATAATAAGTATGAGTATATGTAATTCATATTATTATGAGTTCGACGTACTTCGTGTATGTGTCCCTTCATCTCTGTATAAAACTTTGTCTCTTTTTTACGCATGAAAGCCTAAAAGTAGAGGAGAGAGGGTTAATTTGCTAAAAATTATTATAAAATTCGATTAAATATCGATTATAAATTACGCATAAAATTTTTGTAATTAATAATCATTTTTTTGTAAACAAGTTATTTTATTAAATTTGATTAAATATCGATTAATTTTTTAAATCTTAAATTTATATTTTTATTGATACATGACTTACACTTGAAATTTTTATTTATCTATATTTTTTTATTATTAATTTTTAAAATATTTTTTAATTTTATTTGTTTCTCTTCCGTCTTTATATTTAATCATGTTTTTTCTTCAATTATTATATTTTTTTCTCTCCTCTTATATATTTAATAAAAATATTATATTAAAAACAATGACACCAAAAATGATTAAAAAATATTTTTTTTCATATATAATTATTAAAAATGCATGCATGTCCATATTTTTACAATATTATTTTTTAAATATATATTTTATAATTTTACTTAGTTATTTTATGCTTTTTAAATGATTCGTGTTTTATCTCCATTATTTTAACTAAAAATAGTAAAAAATAATTAAAAAATGAATACATTTTCTATATATAATATAGATATAGATAATATATATAATTGTCAAATGCTGAATTAGAAATATATCTTTTTTGGATAATCTTTTGAAAATGCATTATAGACATCTAATTAGACTTTGATTACGTTCCTTTATTTGAAACAAAGAAGTTTTTGGGTAAGCTACTCGATATTTCGCATACGGAGAAAATAAACATAATTAATAAAAGGAAATATTTTTTAATTATAGGGTTGTTTTAAACATTCGTATAAATTATCTGAACATTTCAGTCGTTTAAAACAAAAAATAAAAATAAAAAAATAAGTAGAGAACAGTATCTTATAACAAAAGGAAACAAAAAAAAATCCATACATGCATGACTTAACCTCAAATACAAATGAATATTTACATAAGCTCAAAAAAAAATTCCATACAATGAATATTTACAACACCAAACCTTGCTCTCACTCTTTGAAACTCAACTCCAATCTCAATCATCTCCAATTAAAGAAGCCATTGCCAACCGATAAAACATGTTACACGAGAAGCATGTCTTAGCATTCTGTGCAAGATCTTTCTTAGTCATGCTTTGGCTAATACCTTGCTTCCCTTACCCCTCCCTTTCTTTCGTCTTGAAAGCAGTTTTTTAAGAAAACCAAAGCCTACTCGTTTTTTACCAGGAACAATTGCCATTGATCCTGTGGCTTTGTTTCTATCATTTTTCTCTGAAGTGAGACTTGTTTCTTGAGAATTAATCAAGTTATTAGGACTTTGCAGAGATTTTTCGGTGTCAGGTTGAAGAAGGAATGGAATCTGAGTATCTTTTTCTCTTTTAGTTTCTTCAGTTGGGACAGACGTATGGATCACTCCTTTAGCTTCATCCTCAGCTTGCATTTGATTTCGTAGAGAGGATCGTTTGATCAAGTTCTTCTTCTGGGTTGGATTGGCCACGGTACTAGTTGTGGTGGCAACCTTGTCAAAAAGTGCAACTTCACTAGATGAAGCAAGTGCCTTGAGTTGTTTCCCGAGGTTTAGGATGGTTTCTTGACAGTCTGCCAACTTTGTTGAAGCTGTTGTGATCTCCCAGCCCTGAATTATATATTTATTTTGCATAAGATTTATTTATGTGTTTACTTTAAAGAAAATAGACGAAAAGTTGATAGATTTGACTCTTCTAAAATGAACATGAGTATAAGAAGTTATTTACTTCTGATTATTCCACCCCATCCATTATTTATTATACATATGCATGAGTCAATGATAACAGTTTAAGATAACAGTGTCATAGTCATACATGATACATCTCAAATTAGATGGGATGTGAACTACTTACAGTTTGGTATATCTTTTCTACTTCGTATCTGCCATACGTTGGAGATTCCTTCTTTGCAATGCTGTAAATAATTTTTCATGTTCTCATAGTTAGATTTATATTGCATGGCAAAAGAAAATTGCAGTAGGACTAGGAACATACAACTTATAAGAGAGGAAAAGAAAAGAATCTTTACCTCTCCAATTGGAGTTGAAGCTCCAGACATGTTGCTTCTAATTCCTCACAGGAATTATTTTTATCCTCTAATTCAACTTCTAAGGACGAAAACTTTTGAAAAATGTCATTTAACTTGGCCTGGGCCATTGTAAGCTGTGTGTCAAGATCTTCATTTATGATCTTTTGTTTCTCAATCTGATCTTTCAGTGTCTCAATCTCTGATTCTAAACCTCTGATGTTGTTCTGTGCTTCTTGACATTGTTGTGTCAAGTTCTGTCTCTCATCAGTTGCTGACATCAGCTTTTCTTCCAAGTATTTCTTCGCAGTTTTTGCATTCCTTAAATCATCTTTTAACTTTCTAATATCTTCAAGGAGATCACACTGACTGTTCTTTGTGTTGAAGAGCTCACACTGATCTTCTGGATATGCAAACGAGGCTGAGCGAGAAGACTGTTTATCTTCGTCATCTATTTTATTTTCATTTTGTGATAAAAGACTGCTAAAATGCTTCTTGATCTTATCCCTTGCAATTGCAGCATTTGTGGAGGTGGCACAGTTATTAATGCTCCAGTCCAAAGCAAATGCTACTTCCTCAATAAAATTTTCAAAATCAGCTCTCCCTGTTAACAAATCTTTGCAGGTGTGAATAAGTTGGTGCAGGAGAGGATTTAAGTGTGATACCTTCCATTGGAAAACGTGAACAAAATAGTCTTTGGTTGTTGATGACTGTGATATGTCTGAATGCTTATTCTCCTCCAAGCAATCTGGACAATTGTTGCACATAAATGACTTGGGAGCAATACCTTCAATGAGGTTGATAATCCTGTATATTGACTTTCTCGAATTAGAATTGAAGCGTTGCTCTCTTTCTGCTTCTGTATCAGGTTTAGAAGCAGTTGGATGATTCATGCAATCCAAAGCAATTTTTATGTCATCAAACAGTTCATAAAGACTTCGTTTTGATATGATTTTCTCCTCTAAGATTGCATTCAAAACAATCTGAAGCCAGTCAAACGATTTTTCAGTTAATTGGATCTCCTTTTTCCTCTCACTGAAGCCAAGATGATCTTGTTCAACTGGCACTAACTCCTTACCACTTATATCAGAGAAGCATTCTCTTTTAGGTTTATCAATAGAAACTATAGCTCGTTTTTCCATCTCAACAAAATCATCCATGAAACTCATGTCCGAAACTTCAGTGGCTTTACTACTTTTATGAACTTTAGCCCCTGTTCTTAAATGTTCAAGTTCTGAAATAAGAGCAGTCGCCCAGGATCCAGAAGAGATAGCCTCATCATCACTATAAATGTCACAATTTGACATCAAAGGAAGTTCATTTGATGTGGGATAACACCTAGCTAGCTCCATACACTTCTGATTTTCAGAAACCTTTCTAAGCAGAATCTCAGCCTGTGATAATCTGGAAGCTGTTTCGGCATACATAAGTCTTGAAGATTCTAGTTCAGAGTTTTTCTTGGTCAAAATTCTTTTGAAAGCCTTGTTCTCCTCATCCAGATCTTGCAATCGTCTGATCATTAAGCCAAAACTTTTCTCTGACACATCAGTAGAGTTTCCAATATGATTGCTTTTGTAGATCAATTCCCTGCTAGAATTTGACTTTCTTCTTCGCATCATTCCAACTTCATTCTTCATATTCACCATACCAGCAGAACCAGGTGATTTTTTTTGTAGCATAAGACGGAGTTTTTGACACTCAGCTTCTAAATTTGACACTTTCTGAGAATACTCTAGGTACTGTTTACGAGAGGCATCTGCATACTGACGGCAATAGTCTGTCTCCTCCTTCCGGACCTCTAGTTCCTTCTCCAGCACGTGAAACTCATATCTTAGGAAAGAATTTTCCTTTTCTGTGGAGTCTAACCTAGCCATCAATGTACTAAACTCAGCATCTGTTTCTTGTTTACATTTTAGCAGGTCCCCAATATAGTTCTCCTTGGTTAGCAAGGCATTACCAAGATGAGTATTCTCGGCAGTTAGGTCATCTATCCTTTTACTTGTTTCCCTCAACTTCTCTTCCAATTCTTTCTGAATCTTCTCATGCTCTATAGATATCTTTGAAATGGCACCACTAAACTTCTTCTCTTGTTCTTCTTGAACACAGCTTGGTGGATGCAAAGGTTCCTCCAACGTTGCATCTTCAGGAGTAACACTTACAGAAGACGCCTTTTCATCTAAGTCTTCAACAGATTCTACTTCCTGTTTTGTCTTGTCCTTGCCTACTGTTTTTTTAATTATTAAAATTTAGTAAGATAAGAATCAAATTGTATGCCCAAAAATAGGAAGATGAGAGTATGAGCAGAAAACACTTATTAGAAAAGAAATCACTAAAGAAGCACCATTATGGTGGGAAAAGGTGGGGGAAATATGACAATAACATACCTTTAGTTTCCGTTTGGGACTTTTGGTCATGTTTTGATAAAGGGTCATCTCCAGAATGAGAATCAAGGAGGACTGTTGCCAACTTCTTATTTAGATTTTGTGATGATCTTTCCAATCCAGATTCTTTAGTTGTTGGAAGTTTGTGTATCTGAAAAAATATACTACCGTCTGTCAGTATAATAAACAGATCGAGCATTTTTTGTATGAATTCAGATCCAGTATCAAAACTTTGCCAAAACTAAGCAGGGTAGTGACATAACTGGTTTCTGATTTGCAGAAAATTGGGAAAGAAGAGAATAGATAACCGAATGAAGAAAACAAACAGCAACATACAAAAATGAGTAAGCTTTGAGTACCTCTTCTTCAGTGGGTCTAGAGGGAGTGACACCTTTGTCCACTGCAAAGATTGTTTTCTCCATAGATTTTTTCCTCCAATGCCATGGCTTGTGGTTCATGATTTCAGGTACTATTCAAGAACCAAGAGAGAAAATTTCATGCTATTGAATGTGGAAACTATCAATAAAGTAATTTCTTTTCCTACATTAGTTTCTCTACCCGGTCCTAGAAGTTTCAATGCAACAACAGAAAAGGATAAAAAAAAAAGACACAGAATAACACAAAAGACTAAACCAAAGAAATATGGGTTCAGGTTACATATTCACGAAGTTCAATGTTCATTCCGCCTATTGATAATTTGAAGATAAGCAAGAAAAACTCCACTATTGATCAACAATTTTACTGACATCTTGTCAACCATATGAAGTATTGTGCAAGCTCATCATCTGTGGTTAAAATTTTGACCAGATGAAGCAGAAACTAGCTTCGAATTTCCATAAGTATAAACTCACAAAATTGTTAAGACTTATGAGAGTAAAAAGACGTGCTTAAATCTAATTAAATAGGATCCAAAATATATTGTAGGTACTTTACAACTAGCATATATTACTGATCTTCGTCATGTTAATATTCTGAAAGTAAGAGGAGCCACCAATGAAATCTGGTAGTCAATAGCCATCCCTTTTTTCTTTCCTTTTTTTTCTTCTTCTTGTTGATAATGCTGAACTATCTAACATGAATGAAGAATCGTGAAAATGAACAAACTTCACTACAATCACGGAAACAGAAAAATTCTTAATAAAGTCTACGTAAGAGGGGGCATGAATAATTGAACTAACATACGTGTTTTCACACATCAACCTTTCTTCGTTAAATTTGGCAACATTACTTTAGTCTTTCCAAACAGTCCTAAGCTAATGTTCTTAAAATGGTAATCATAACAGTGTTCATGGCAGATGCAAACAGTTTATAACTCTAAAAAGCACCAGAAAACATATTAAGATAATGACAGCAATTGAAAAGGAAGAAAACAAAAGTACAGTAATCGGAAGAGTTTATAGTGCAAACAGCTAAATCAGCTCGTACCTGGAAGAACTTAGCATCAACAAGACTTAAAAGGGCACTCTGAGTTTACTGGCATTAAAACTTGAACTAGCTACCAATGGAAGGAACTTGGAGGTGAAAGTAAAACAATAGACAGATAAGTTATCAGAAAAATCCCAACGGATATGTCATAGGATGCTTACCCTTTCCACCGACACCTACGAATCCTCGTCTGTAGCTGTGTATATATTTGTATTATCCTATTAAAAAGTTTAAGGTTTGATATGATGTTACCAAAAGGTTAAAAATGAGATATAAAAAGAGAAGCCACAGTCACATTCCGAGTCACTTGTGAATGTGTATGATGGAGTGAAAATGAAGTAACAGTTACGAAAAGGAGAAGTCATGAAATTGACCACAAGTGGTAGAGGAGGGTCATAAAAGACACGGGATCAGTATAGGTACAAAAGGGAGACCAATCCCACAACACATTGAATGTCTAGCTATCTGTATAAGTTGTCGAGTAATGATATGAAACCAATGTATATATATACCACATGTCCAACATTCTAGTACAATACCTTAGTCTTTTAAGGATTTTTTTTTCTTGAACTTTTTATTAAACTTTATTTTAATTTTTATGTTGATTGTTAAATATTAAACTTAAATATAAAAAAAGATTAAAAATCGTATTTCTAAAAATTGAAAATTTGAATTGACTATAAGCCTTGTTTTGCAGATTATGCACAACTGACTGACATGCATCAGAATACCATGCCTACGACTTCTGTGAGAATTCTTCTGAATTAAATCAACCCAGTGCCATCAAAACCAACCCTTTAATCATGAAAGATCTAAGAGAATATTGATAATTTTTATGAGAGCTTTTTCTTTTCCTTTTGTTTATGAATGAATGTGGCCCATGTCCAACGGTGGCACACTCACTCGCTTCAACAGTAAGAAAAAAAAAAGGAGGAACAAGCTACCATTTTCCCCAAATGAACGTTATTTGAGTTGACAATGTGGAACCAACCATTTCTTGTTTCTAAGTTTGTGAATCTAAGAACTTGGTAGAAAAATGTTAACTACTTTTAATTATTAAAGCTTCATTGGTCATTAAGTCATACTTAGATGTTTTACTGTTGATTCCCCCCCCCCCCCCCACCCCACAACGTTAAGATACTTTGGCAAACTGCCCCCACCTTACCTTCCAATAAATTAGCTTTAATAAAAGTGAAGACCATAAGCAATGATACTTTTGACTTTGAAAATCATGAAATGCATACTTTATCGCAAAGGGTTTTTGTTTATCATTTTCTTTTTACAAAACTGAAAGAAGGAAATTTTATGGCGTCCTTATACAGTGAATTAGACTGTTAGGTATAAGCTCGGGTAACCTGACACCACTGCTGCTATGGAAATAATGTTTCCTTCAGTTTCTAAATTATTTGAGAATTTTTATAAATTGATCTTTCAATTTGTATTTACTTTTGAATAGGTGTTTTCGTTTATATGTCGTTGTGGAAATTTGATCATCTAAACCAGTTGTGTGAATTTGCACTATGTTAACGATAAATACTTACTTATTTTTAAAATTATTGTTTAACGTTTTTGTGGTGAAATTAATTTAAAAAATAATATTTTTTATTGATTTAAATAAAATATCTATAAAATATTTTCATTTTACATCATAATAATAAACTAACTAAATATTAGATGAAAGTAAAAATATAAATGAGGAAAAAATATTAATATTGTCTTAACCTTTAAAAAATGATAATCAACTACGAGCAATTTGTTTTCAAAACAAAAATAAGTAGTTAAAATGAGAAGTATTAGTGTAATAGATTATTATACGTTTGAATAACATAATAAACAATATTAATTCCATGTTTTCAGCCCAACAATTCAAAAGAAACTTGTCGAAAATTGAGTTTGACACACAAGGAATCAATTTTATTTTTATCATCTTGAGAAATTACATAATATTTTGCACTTCTTATTTATAGATTTGGGTAGTCTCTGTTCACATGGATAAATGTAGACGGAAAATGTTAGCATTGAGAGATATTATATCTTGTGAAAACGCATGAAAAAAAAAAGGTTTGGATACACTAATATAATTTACATTTTAAAATATATTTTTATTAAATTTTAAATTCTTTTAAATTATTTTTTTAATCCAATCTGGCTCAAACCAAAATTTATGATTACAGATCAAGTTAGATCTATTTTTTTACTATATGGGTCAATTATATTAGATGAAATCATCTATTTTGACCATCAAGTGTGTATTTGTATATTTTTCCCTTACTTTTTTATTTTTTCTCCATGATTAGGCACAGTTTAAACAGGTTTAATCTATTATATAAGAGTGGATACTTTATTTACAATTATTGTGTAATCAATTAAAATCTTGATTTTGGGTAGAGCTATCACAATGTATCTTTATGAGTTGAAAAAAATTAAAAATTTTCATTTGAGAAATAAAATAAGTCAAGAATCAATTTTATAAATAATATATTTTTTTAAGTATTAAAGTATTTGTATCTTAATTTATTCAAATAAAATTATTTACTATTTATATACAGTTTGTTTCTCTCTTCTTATAACTTTTTTGTCCTTCGTTTACTCATTGTTTTCTCTTTTTTATTTTATCTCACATGTTTTAATTTTTTTCTCTCCTTTCCCACTTATTATTGTACTTAAAACTATTATTTTAAAATTTAATAAACATATGTTAAAGTACAATTTTTAAAATCAGCATTAAAAATAAAAATATATCAATTAATTTTATTTATTATGATAATAACCAATTTTATTTACAAATAAATAATTAATTTAATCAACTACTCGTCTAATTAAAAAATAATCAAATATTTATGAGTTGAATATATTTTGTATTTAGTAATTTAAATTAGGTTTAGTAATTTATTAAAAAGTTTACTTTAAAAGAAATATTTAATTGTTTATTGATAATTATAATATAACATTAATATTTATAATACTTTAAATTTATCATATAATATTTTTAAAATATAATATAATAAATTGTAGTATTCCTTAACAATTTAAATATTTTTATTTTTTAGAAATAATAAAGGATTTATTTTATTAAATTTCAATATAGTAGTATTTTTAGTTAGAAGAATAAGATGGGAAGAGAGAATAAGAAAAGAGGTGATAAAGAAACAGGAAAATAAACATTAGATGAGGATAGAGAGAAAAAATAATAAAAAGTAGATGAAGTGGAAAAACAAGAAGATGAACCAGGAAAGAAAAAAAACTGTAGTATTAAAATGAAATTATTTTTTATTATTAAATTTTTTGTATGAACATACTGGGTAAATAAATTTATAAATAATATATTTAAGTAATTTTTTAAAATATATTATTTAAATAATTTTTTAAAATATATTATTTATAGGATTATCTGACTCATTTAAGTTGTGAATTGAATGAATTCTAATAGGATTAGGATTGATTTTATTTTTTTTAATCTTTGAAATTTTCCTTTTTTCTTTTTATATGTAAGTGTAAATTTATGAAAAAAGAAGAAGATATTTTTAAGTCAATCTACTAAATCAACCTATTGTACTGCTTTTAAAAAATAAAAAATAAGACATATATTTAAGTAAATCAATCCATTTAATCATTATTTTAAAAATTGGATTAACAGATTCAACTGGTTTAGGAACCGATTTAGAAATTGATTTGATACTTTTCAGTAACCAAATTTTAATTAAACCATAAAAATCAGTAAAATAAAAAAATCAATTGAATTTTTGGGTGTATATATATATTGTATGTTAGTTATGTTAACTTTACATAAGTTATTTTATTAAGTTTTATCTTATTTTAATAATTATCTATCTTACACTTTTTAATTATTATATATTTATAATTTTTATTGTAATTTTACTATGATTATGATAGTAATTTTTTTTCTTTTGTAAACAAATATTATTATTAATAAATTTATTATATATTTATTATGTTATAAAATTATTATTTTATTAAATTTGATTCGACTTTAATTAAATATTTAAATCCTGAATCAATGTCTTCGTTAACT